GTGAATCCTCCTAAAACTGCAAAGAGGGTAGTCTTTAACAAAGGAGAGCCTGGGATGTATTGGTCCCCCAATGAAACCTTAGAACTTTCTAAAGGTTTTTGTCAAACTCTTATTGGCAAATGTGCCTATGGTAAACCTTCTCTGGGTGTGGTGAAAGAATTTATCAAGTCTCGATGGCTTCTGAAAGGGGATTTTTCTGTAGGTGTGTTAGATCAGAGGCATGTACTGATCAGATTTTCTCTCTATGAGGACTATGTTAAAGTGTGGCTGAAGGATACAACATACATTGAGGGTTATCTTTTCAGGTTTTTTAAATGGTTTCCAGAGTTTTATTCTGGGATTGAGCCACCTATTGTACCTGTATGGGTATCCTTACCTGGGCTTCCAATCCATTTATTCAACAGAGAAAGTCTGAGAGATATTTTAAGTCCAATAGGCAGGATTCTGGTGATAGATAATGCTACCCTTAGCCTTTCTAGACCTGGGGTAGCCAGGGCCTGTGTTGAGATGAATCTTCTTATCAACAATCCTAAGAGATTCTGGTTAGATATGGGAGGTGTTAGTGGCAGATGGCAAAAGATAGTGTATGAAAAAGAGTACAGGTATTGTCCTGCTTGTCTTAAGCAGGGGCATGATGAAGTGCAGTGTAGAAGGAAGAAGAAAGTGGAAGATGATATTTCTGATAAGAAGCAGGAGGCAGGGAATAATATTCCTCAGGATGAGGAGTGGAAGAAGAAAAAAGGTAAAGCTATGGCTACAGATGGTCTGAGAGGACAGGCTAGAAAGGAATATAGACAGAAATCTAATCCTCAAACTACTGCTGTGGGGAATAGTTTTTCTGTTTTAAATGAGAATACTGTTATAGAAGAGCAAGATATTGGGAAGGAAATGAATGTAAATGAACAGGAAATAATACCAGACAAGGTCACTAATAATGAAGGATCTCCTTCTATTCAGGAGATTGGTATTGGAAATGTTGAAATACAGGGGGAGGATGTTAGAAAGGATACTGTCATTCTGGAGAACCCTCAGGCAAGTCTTGAATGTGATACTCAAGGAGTTGGCAATACTAATAATGCTGATATCAGATTGGAGGGAATACAGCAAGAGAATAATCCAGGAGTAACTATTGCTTCTGATTCTAGAAATCAAATTCCCATAAATACAGTCACTATGGGGGCTACATTGGAGGTAAATTCTTTTTCCTCCCCTATTCCATTAAATCCTATTAATGAGGAGATCAATGTTGGAGTTCCTGTATTTGAGGTTGTTAATAATGACAATATGGTGGTTCATGAAAATATAGAGATTTTGGGAGAATGTAGGAATTTTTATGCTCCATCAATGGATTCATCCTTCCTTTTGGAACATGGATTTGTTGTTAGAAAAGGAAGCCAAAATTCTGTAGATGATCAGTCTGGTTTGGTTAGAATGAAAGAACCTCCAGATAAGGGTTATTTTTCAGATCAGGCTAGCTCTAGACCTCAGAGAATTGTAAATGTTGAATCTGATATTTCTGGGAGTTCTGTTGAAGAAGAGGATGAGGGTAATGGACTTAGTTCCAGTAAAGTTCCATCTTCTATGAATTTATGATTAATCTCCTATCATGGAATATGAGAGGGGCAGGTAAGGAGGCCAAGAGGAGGAGATTAAAGAAGCTTATTAAATTGCATGATGTTTGTTTGGTTGCAGTTCAAGAGCCTAAATTACTGATCTCTAAATTGGTTCCTTTTGCTAGGAGTATTGGTTTAGAGCACTTCTGTTCTAATGCCCTTGCAGAAAGGAAAATTTGGATTTTATGGGATGAGAGAATCAAGTTGAGAATCTTGTTTGAGCATGATCAAGTATTGACTGTGGAAATAACTTTTCTGAATTCAACTATTTTTTGGATCTCAATTGTATATGCTAGTTGTGATCCTTTTGTAAGAAGGCTATTATGGGATCATTTGTTGGGAATTGATGTTCCCTCTGATGTCCCTTGGATGGTGGTGATTTCAATTCAATCCTCTCTTCTGATGAAAGATTGGGGGGAGCCCCTCCTTCTCAGCAGTCTATAGAGGATTTTGGTGATTTTGTAAATCATAGGGGTTTGCTGGATGCTGGTTTTTGTGGGCATAAATTTACCTGGTGTGATAACAGGAATGGGGGTATCAGAATGAAGCAGAGGTTGGACAGAGCTCTGATTAATGCTTGCTGGAATTTGAATTTTGATAGTATGGAAGTGGCTCATTTAGCAAGGGGCTCCTCTGATCATAGCCCTTTATTGATGAAAATCATGGATGCTCCTGTACAGAAAAGACTCTCTTATTTTAGATTTCAAGACATGTGGTGTGATCATGAGGGATTTTTTGATCTGATTAAAGCAAATTGGGGAGGGCACTATTCAGATAATCCAATGTCAAATTTGTTCATCAAGATGAAATATTTGAAGGCTCATATGAAGATGTGGAATAAAAATGTGTTTGGAAATCTCTTTGACAAATTGAGAAATCTGGAGCAAAAAATAAGTTTGTTGGAACAGGAGGTAGATCAGAGGTTTTCTGATTCACAAGACATAGAGTTAAAAGCTGCTAAGAATGAGATGGATGATTGGCTAAGAAGAGAAGAAACTTATTGGAAGCAAAAGTCAAATATAAAATGGGCTGTACAGGGGGAAAGGAATACCAGATTTTACCATTCTATTGCTAAAAGTAGAATGGTTAGAAATAAAGTCTCAAGAATCAAGAATAAAGAAGGGGTATGGGTATGTGGGAATAAGCAAGTGGCTGAGGTAGCTGAGGAATTTTATGTTGATCTTTACAAGTCTGAAAGGCATATCATCAATGAACAAATTTTTGTTGATGTTATTCCTAAGCTCATCAGTCAAGAGGATAATGAGAGGCTCACAGCTGAAGCCACTTTGGAGGAATTGAAAGATGTGGTCTTCTCAATGGCAGTTGAAAGTGCCCCTGGGCCTGATGGTATGTCTGGTATGTTTTTTCGATTTGCCTGGGATATTATTAAAATAGATGTGGGCAGAGCTGTTAACTTTTTGCTAGCAGGAGGTACAATGCCTAAATCTGTGAATTCCACTTTGTTAGTATTGATTCCTAAGAAGGAAAATCCATGTTCATTTGCTGATTTCAGACCTATAAGCTTATGTAATTTCTTATATAAGATCTTTACAAAGCTTCTGAATACTAGACTTTCTTCCCTTCTTCCTGCTTTAATTTCTGAAGAACAACATGGCTTTGTACAAGGCAGAGGTATTGGAGATTGTGTGGCCTTGGGACAGTTGCTTGTTGGAGAATTAGACAGAAAGGTGGATGGTGGGAATATGGTTATGAAATTGGATATGATGAAAGCATATGACAGGATGGAATGGGATTTTTTGTTGAGGGTACTGGCTGGCTTTGGCTTTTCTGATTTGTTTAATCAAATTATTTTGAATTGTTTGAGTAGCCAATTCTTTACCATTTGTTTAAATGGCCAAAGATATGGTTATTTTGCTAATTCAAGGGGGTTAAGACAGGGAGATCCTCTCTCACCTTCCTTATTCATCCTGGCTGAGGAAGTGCTGAGTAGAGGGTTAAGAAGAATTTATCACCAGAATTTGGTGAAACATTTCCATATTGGGAGAGGAACAACAATTGTTAGCCATTTGCTATTTGCTGATGATACTCTGATTTTTCTAAGAGGTAATAAATCCTCTGTAGTGAATGTTTTGCAATTTATTGAGTTGTATGAATCATGCTCTGGACAGAAGGTTAACAAGATGAAAAGTGCTGTCTACTGCTCCAAGCTGATCTCTCTAGCTAGAAGAAATAGGCTGGCTGCTGTGATGGGGATTCCTTTGAAGAATTGTCCTTTTACCTATTTGGGATGTCCTCTTATCAGAGGTAGAGTTAAGAAATGTTACTTTGAAGAGGTGGTGAACAGCTTTAGAAGAAGACTTGAGGGTTGGTATGCCAGACTTCTCTCTGGAATGGGAAGAGTGGTATTGGTGCAGTCAGTACTTAGCTCAATTCCCATTCATATTTTGGCTTGTTTGAATATTCCAAAAGGTATTTTAAGTAAGCTGAACTCTCTTATTGCTGATTTTATTTGGTCTAATCAAATTGGCTCCAGGAGGAGACATTGGGTGTCACTTAATGATATTTCTAAGCCCAGAATAGAAGGTGGCTTGGGAATTAGAAGTTTTGATGAAGTCCAGATGGCATTCAGAGTGAAACAAGTATGGGGCATTCTAAAGGGGTCTTCTTTGTGGGCCAAAGTCTTTCAAGAGAAGTTTTTTCAAGGCAAGCATATGCTAAGATGTAGCAGCAGTGGTGCAGGTTTATCATTTAATGTCTTGAAGCCTTGGTTCAATTTTACAGTACAGAATTCTTTCAAATTGTTAGAAATGGTCATAACACTGATTTTTGGTGTGATTCATGGTTGGAAACTGGCCCCTTGATTCTTAGAATGGAGAATCTTCCATTGATCTTTCCCAAGATAAAAGAATTATGGAATGGGGTAACATGGCAGCTAAATGAGGTTGCTGAATGGCTTAATCCTCAATTATGTTCTGAAATTGAAAAGGTGGTTTTTGTGAGATCTGAGGAATCTGATAAGCTTATTTGGAAGCATACTACTTCAGGTGAATTTACTGTAAAATCTGCATGGAATCAGCTCAGGAAAGTGGGGAACCAAACTGCTATTGCTAAAGGCATATGGAAACAGAAAATTTTTCCTAGTGCTCAACTTTGCACTTGGAAAATTTTCAGGAAAGCTTTGACTTCTGATGATAGAGTTCAAGATGTGGGAGTTGCAATGGCTAGTAGATGTGTCATGTGTGGTGTGGATGGGGAAAGTGCAGCTCATGTACTTATTGATTGCTCTTTAGCTCAAGCTGTCTGGAGGAAAATTGCTGCAATTATGGAATTTGATATATTTTCAGGAGAGGCTCCTTTATGCAGATTCTTGAGATTGTTGAGAAGGTTTAAAGCTGCTTCTCTCAGTCATAATCTAATCAGAGGGGT